ATCCCTGGCGCAAAGGGACTTCAAGAGAAGAGATGCTGCGAGAAAGGCCACCAGGCAAGCTGGCGTCAGCGAGGAGGAAGAGCAAGAACGTAGAAAAGGCGGCCGCTGGGAAGACTGGGAGCAGTTTGGCAACCCGGCTGCGGCCGTGGCCACAGACGAGGACGAAATTCGCAGACAGATTGAGGCGACAAGGAGACGACTCGATGGCACCGATGGAGGTCGCCAGGAGGATAACAGAACATCAAGGACACCTGTACCACCGCCAAGGCCACCACCGCCCAGCTACTCATACCATTACCCGTCTATCTCGAGACCGAGGGCGGTCGAGTGGGATTCTGCGCCATTGGAGCCCAAACGAACCTACACTCCCTCGATGCCACAGCCTCCCAAACCGCCAAAAGAGGACTTCACGATATTGCGCCAAGAGCTCGATGCGGCGCCCCCATCACGTCCCGGCAAGGAACCTCTTCCTTCTTATATTCCACCGCCTACCCCTGATTCGGTACATAGGGACGTACCTGAACTTCCCGCAAAGGAGGAGATAATGCCGCCGCCATCAGCAAAGGAGCGTCTTACTTTCCGTCCAGCAGCGTACCTGGAGAACGGAGACCCGATCCGGCCGGTCTTCCTGCCCACCCAACTCCGGGAGGCTTTCCTGAACATTGCAGCGGACAACACCCGAAAGGGCCTCGAGATGTGTGGCATCTTGTGCGGCCGGCCTGTTAACAACGCGCTCTTTATCAACTGCCTGCTCATTCCTCAGCAAAAGAGCACGCCAGACACCTGCGAGACGGAGAACGAGTCGGCCATGCTGGACTACTGTATTAACGAGGACCTGCTGATGGTCGGCTGGATCCACACGCACCCCACGCAGACGTGCTTCATGAGTTCGAGAGACCTGCACACCCAAGCGGGATACCAGGTCATGATGCCGGAGAGCATTGCCATTGTGTGCTCTCCGAGACATCAGCCATCGTATGTGATCTCCCTGGTGCCACCTGAATGAAAGCTAATAGTCCTACAGATATGGCATCTTCCGCCTCACCAACCCGCCTGGTCTCACTCACATTCTCCAGTGCACCCAAACCCAGACTTTCCACCAGCACTCCATCGACGACCTGTACACGACTGCTAGTAACCCGCCGGGTCACGTCTACCACTCCGACAAGCTCGACTTTTATGTGAAGGACCTGCGGCCGAACCGGTAGGAGTCGGAATCTCGGCAGGAGAGCAATTCATCGCGCAAGCGCAAAGCAACTCATGAGCCATCGCGTAAGCGGTCCACGAGAAGGATTTGGGAGGACATTGAGGACGATTTTCCCTGATCAGGGATGGTTGGGCCAAGAGATTCAGCTTGGGCGGGATGATTGGCTGCTGCGGACGGAGAATGGACTGCTTGTCCGTCACTTTTGCTTGTTGCATGGCGAGGGCGTTCAACGACTTGCGGCTGGACGCTCAGCGGGCGTCTTCTACTGAAGTGGGATGATGGGAACGTCGAGACGACGCGTTGTTACGTAGAATTAAATCATCATGATATGGAAACTAATGGGACCCGGCACTTGCACTGGATTTTGGTCCAGTATGACTTGCCTTCTGTAACCTATTATCGAATTTCTGCGAAGTATCAACGTGGGCTTCTAAAGCTGAATTGGCCATCTAGAACTCTTCATCCCCCGTACTCTGAAGTTTCCATACCTCAGAGCCATTGCCCTATGTATATATATCAAGTCGCCGGCGTCTGCTCCTATGAAAATCTGACAGGAAATAAGGGCTCGGGGATCTGACTGTATTTCGTGACATCAAGCTTATCAATAAAGGGCTCACGGCGAGAGGTGCTGGGTATACAGCAGTCCAAATTGCGGGCTTAGCTTGCACTATGATCACGGGTGAATAAGAGAGATATACCTGGAAAACGAGGATGAGAGAGGAGGGGTGTACTAATCGTTTTACCCATCAAACACTCCGGAGGCCTCGTGCATGCTGAGGTCTGTGATTGATCAAGGTGATCAAAATGGACGAGGAACTCCGTCACTGTCGTCCTTCAACTTCGTTTCTTGCCGAACCACTCTATGCTAGGCGCCAAATACAGTACTTTAATACTAGAGTTTGGCTATTGAGATAGTGAGAGCAAACGCCGCATCTAGGGTATGAGGGCTTGATGACGTATAAAACAGACGTGTAAGCAATGTAATAATGTTGCCAATAATCTTATCTGCGTCCATATTTGTTGGAAATATGGTGGGTGTGGTGCAGATTTACGAATTACAGGCAAGGATTCATGAATCATCAGCTTTTATAGACTGAAGATATGGTTTCCTTGCAACGAAGTAATACTTGGAATCAACAGGAGATATGCAGGGGATGATCAAGGACTGGAGGGATGAGAGACCCTGAAAGGGTTATTGTAAAGGTTAATTAGGATCCCAGGTGGCTGAACGGCGACCTTGCTGGCAAAACCCCTTGATACCTGACAAATGTGGATAAAGAGAGCGACTTTGGCACAAACCACACAAGACCCCCAGATGTGAAGGATTGAAGGCAGGTGCGCAATATGGATGAACTTATATACAAGTCGTTCAGGGCTTTTGGACACTGGATGTAAGTACTAAGACTACCGCCGAGCACATTCTGCGGTGAACACAACGCCAATCAATACATATTGACAGCCAAAGGAGCGGCGTAAAACTGACATCCGATCGACATAAATTCATCTTAACAGCAGCAGTTTGGTCAGATAGACTGCCTTACCAACAGGGTGGTTGGACGTCGGGATGTCCTTGGGGAACACGTATCCGTGTTCAATTAGTGAATGGTGCGTAGGGAATGTGAACTTCAAGACGGCATCCTTCGCCCAGAAGAAGAGGTAGATGGTTTTATGCTTAACCATGTTGATAGGGTTTGTTGAAAATTATCTTCCATCAAAAGACTCACAGCTTCCATTAAACAAAACATGAATAACAGGACTAGAATCAATCAAGAAAGGAGAAGAAGGACATGAGCATTGGATGGAGTTATGGTGATACTTCGCAGCCCCAGCCCAGTTTAGGCAGACATGGGCGACCTTCGCGCGTGTTAACCACTGAGAGACGAACGATTCAACCGAGAAGCTGACAGTCTAAATGTGTATCCTAAAGAACTGTTTCTGACCATCGTTTTAATAGCTGGCCCTTCTGACTGATACCGATCATGGCTCGGTGGGCAGAGAGCTGGTTTCCTCGGATGGTCATGCAGCGCTTGTCTCGGAGCCTTCGATTTGCTGAGAAGGTTGTCGGTGAGTTGTCAAACCTTGCTCAAGAGATGGTTCTTGATGAAGAGTTGCGACTTGCTGAGTAGATGGTTGCTGCAGTGTCAAGTCTTGCTAAGAGGCTGAGAACTCTCCAGGTGGCGAGCTGTGTCGAACTCCCGAGTCGTGCAGAGTCGGATCTTCTGAGCTAGCTGCTCTTGCGGGCGCTGCTTGATCTTCTAAAGCTGTGCCATCCTGCGGACTCGGTTCAGTTGGAAGAAGATTGTACTTGGCAAAAGCTGGGATGATCAGAGTATAAGCCTCTTCAACATCTTGTGCCAGCTTAGCCTCAACAACCACTTTTGCAACTGATTTGAATACAGAATTCTCCAATCGCATGGCGTTACAGTCCCTCCTTCCCTTCACTAAAGTCGTAGTGCCTCTAACTTGTTTTATGCTTGAGGCTAAAGCGAGGATGAAAAGAGAAAACAACTCTTGCGCGTACTGAATCTCCTTTGTCGACCCGTTGCGCCCTTCGATGAGTAAGTCACGAGTCTCGTAGGTCGGAAAGCTTTCAGAACGGCCACTGGGCAGTCGAATCAATAAACATCCTGCCACCCTTGTCATTGAGTGCGCATACCTGAATCTTGAGAATGAAGAGAGAAACATGCCAAGGTACCATTCTGACATCTGAATTCCGCGGATCCGAAGCAGCCTTTGGAGCGAATTGAAGACATATACTTCTTCGGCGCTCTCTGTCGTCTCACCTTCATTGATCACCTTCTTTTTCAATGCTTCCCATAGTAACCGCATTGAACCAGGTATCTTATCATAGAATATGAATACTTCCCGGAGTTGCCTCAAGGTTCTGTGTGATAAGAGATCCTTTGTCATCCCTTGTTGTGTTTCGCGACTTTGACGCCTTTTTTCGTCGAAAGAAATGTCGATGACGCGCTTGTCAAGCCACATATGCAATGATTCTGCTGCTGTTCTGATATCGCCAGCCGCACCACATCCTACAATTCGTTTAAAAGTTCGATGCTCAACAGGTTGCAGTAGGCGATTCATGAAAATACTGTGACCGGCAGCAAATGCGATTCGCGCAGCGTCCGTGAATAGAGATAGAGATAGAACGGCTTGAATTTGACGCTGATTCGATAGTTTCCATCGCGAGAATTGATCGTTCTTGGGAAACCTTTTAGCTCTTTCCGGTCTTTCCAGCTCAAATGAGACGCGTTGTCGAGTCCTGCCCTGCTGGTGATATTTACCAACTATGCAATGACTCACGTTAAAGGACCACTTGAGAGAGCAAGCTTTCTCTTGACCCTGACTGTTGAGATGATCTTGCATGGCTTTCTGATTCCAAGCTATCATGTCCACTCTGCTGAATATTTCGATGGCCCTTTCAATGGCAAGCCGCACGGCTTTGGACGCTTCATTTATTTCTGAGCTTGCAACAACAGTATCCAGATGGGAAGTAATTTGATCGTAGATTGGCAATGGATCTATGGGCGCCTCTTCTTGGTCTGGTTGGTCTGCCTGGTCTGCCTGGTCTTTCTTTTGGTTCCCGGCATCCGCTGAAAATTGCAAGGAAACTTCAAGAGAATCTTGAAGATGGCTAAACAATTTACCAGCTGTCGGCATTGGACTGGAAGTATCGCTGTTCGCAGAATCTCTTGATGTATCGTCATCACTTCTACTTTCTTCAGTGAAACCATATTCCCCAGAATGATCCACAACGAGCTCCCAAAAGACTTGATTTTCGTCGAAGTTAGAGTCATGCTTGTGGGAAATTGAAGAACTTGTCGTTGTAAACATTCGCCGAAAGATGCTTCGAAGGTTCGATAGTACACCGACTCTGGTTGTCTCGGCTGTGACTTTACCGGCTTCTCGCCGGCTCTTTGTGTTCCTCTCTTTTTCTGATGCGAGATGAAGGGTAAGCCAAGCGAGCTCATGACCTTGAAGACTTGAAGATGATACAACTTGAAGATCTGAGGCAAGCCCTCTTCGAATCCACGCCCGAATGATTGTCATCAAGAGTGTCACTGCCAGCATGACCACCGTTGCTGACCAATGAAGAGCTCTCAAGCCAATAAATTGAACAATATACCCGGAGATGGCTGTAGAAACTGCAAATAGCGTGAGAGACCTGAAATATTTCTTTGTCAGTGTTTAGGCGTTTATGAGGATGATCCATCTTACCCGTAATGACGATGATTCAGCCGTGAAATCCTGAGTATCTTATCATGCTCAGCAAGAAATATTACGCTTGAAGGGAATTGCTGATCACCAATTGATCGAGCTCTTTGCAGGGTGAAGAATCTGACGCCACGGCGTTTACCCATATCTGTAAGCGGAATCGCATTCTCAGTTGTGACTCCCTCAATTATGTGGCCGCATGTTGCCACGCCTATCATAAGGCAAACGGTGCCTATGCAGAAACAAGGGTACCCATAATCAGCAACGTAGCCTATTTTGATCCACTGCCAATGATAAATGGCGATTCCCGGAAACGTTATTGCGAAGATCTGAAGGAAAATTCCCACAGCTGCCCAAAACCATCGCTCCCGGGATGATACGATGGCATTTCGAGCGTTGAGGGCAAGATTTGGTGTTGGACTATGGTCAAGTTGAAGCTTTTCCACATAGTGGTAGTAAAAGTCCCCTTCGACGAGATCTTCGGCCGAAGCACTTGCAATATCGAAGATCTTCCCGTCTTCGTCAATGAGTAGAGTTCGAAGCCCTTCAAAGTCGCCCATTAGCCGGACAATCTGCTGCCCGTCCCAAAGTTCGCACACTTTCTCAGAAGTAGAAGAGAGTAATTCTTGTTCTGCAACCGCCTGACTTTCGCGAGCCCTGGGTGATGTTAGAGCCATGTGCTATATAGTATTAACCTTGTCTTAAGCTTTACCGTCCAATAAGTGTCTTCAGCCTGCTTACGCCTCCTACCCGGATAGCGCTCACAACGATAGTAATTACCCCAAGCGGTCCCATGGACAGAAGCAAGTTATCTGCCCACCCTATACTCATGCTGAGGAATTGCTTTGTTACTTGCTCCCCGAAGAGCGTGAGCAAAGGCGCGAGGTCGCTGAAAAGATTGTTGGAGAAATCATCTCCCTCAAATTCGCTCGATTGGGCCATAGCGGTAGTCGGGTAAGCGTGCGGCGGGAGGGGGAAAACGATCTCTGGTTTCAACGGCCGAAGGGCGGGAACGAGGGAACTTTTTGTTTACGGCCGTCGTTCAGCTGCAGCCTGATCCATGATTTCACTTGTACACATCACTTAGATTGAATACGGGAAGGTGGTCAGCTGTGCATAACGCTGTTACACAACAGGTGCTGCGCCAAAAAACAAATCATACCCGACATCAGCAGGAACATAAGCGGGAAAGAGCCAGAGCCTAGAGGGCAGTGTGAAAACTTCACCAATCGAGATGGTCTCTCTGTTTCTGTCTCTTCTTTAATAGTTATAGCTTTTGATCATCACTAGCTATTGTAAACTAACTATAACGTACGTATAGTATCTATATAAATAAAACGGCTTAATTCCTTCTAAATCAGAGTCTAATATAAAGGGTCTTTTAAGGAATAGATCCTAATACACTAGAATATTATTAGTTTAAATAAGTAGGTTAGAAGTAGGTTACCTTATACCTTCTTCTAGGTATAAAGTTACTTTAGATACTTAAGGGTATTATAATATACTTCCTTAGGTTTAAAAAAACCTAAAAACTCTAATTCTATATGATTAATACTATAAAGTCTAAATATATATATAGGGTATTATAAATAGATATAAAAGGAAGTAATTAATAAAAGAAACTAATAAAAAAGATAACTTTATACTTTTATTATTAAATTATAAAAAAGAGGAAGGTCTTTCTCTTTATATATTTTTTATTATAATTAAAATTATAAGTGTTAAAATAGTAATTAATATTACTACTTTACTTAGTAGAAATAGAGATTTCTTATTAACTTAAGTAGAAAGGTTAAAGTAGTTATTAAAGTAGTAAAATAGTAGTAATAATAATATCTCTTATATTATTTTTATTTTTTATTTTTCTTTCTTTATTAACTACTTTAACCTTTCTACTTAAGTTANAATTAATATATATATTACTTACCTTACTTCTATATATATATATATATTTATATTATAATTATAATACTTTCTTTTTTACTTAAGATCTTATTTTTAATACTAATTATATTATTTAGATAACTAAGAAGATTAAAACTAAGTATATAGCTATAATAGCTAAAATAAGAGCTATTTTTACTAATAAGAAATAAAAAGAGAGAGAGGGGGAGGAAGAGGAGAGTAATAATACTTTTTTAGTACTTTATTTAAAATTTAAAAATTTTAAACCTAAAAATAAATTATTTTATTATCTATTTTTATTACTTTTAAGTTATTTCTAAGTTATAAAGTTTTTACTTTATTTTATTATTTTTATAATTTATTTATTAACTTAAGTTATTTTATAGAGATTAAAACTAATAAGTTTAATAAGGATAAGAAATTTATAGGGAGTAAAAAGGCTAAAGAGGGGTATAATTTAGAGTTTATAACTCTTATTCTTCTATTTATTTATAAATTATACTAAGAGTATAAGAAGAATATATTTTAAATTTAGGTCTCTAATTAAGTAATTATATTATTTATTAATTTTTAAATAGAAATAGAAGCTTTAAAAATTAAAGGTTAAGAAGAGGAGTAGTTACTACTATTAAGTAATATAATTTACTTACTTTATTTATAAAGTATTTAAATAGGTATATTATTTAGTATATATATACTTAGTATAGAGTAAAAAAATAAATATACTCTTTATAAAGAGAAAAAGAAGTTATATAAACTTATACTACTACTTATTTCTATATTAAAGCTTTAATTCTTTTAAGCTTTATATAATAATATAAATAAGTCTATATATACTACTTTATAACCTTTATATTATTATTTATTTAGCTAACTATTTATTAAGTCTTTATTTCTAAGAGAACTATACTCTAAGAGGCTTTTAAAGTTTATAATAAAGCTAAAGTAAAAGCTAAAGTTAAAACTAAAACTAAAGATAAAAGTAGTAGTAAGGTAGCTATTAAAACTATAGCTCCTCTTTTAGTACTAGCTATTATCTTATTAGTTAAACTTATTATAGAGGAAGTATTAGTTTTTAATAGTTTATATATTAGTTTATTTTTTAAAGTAACTTCTTCTATCTCTAAGGTAACTAATATTTATATTACTATTAATAGCTTTATTAGTAGATATCTCCCTAAAGAAATAAAGTTTATATATAATATCCTTATAAATAACTATATATTTATTCTCTAAGGATATAAATAAAATATAGTTTTTATATTACTTAATACTTTATAGAGTATAAGTATTTTAAGCTCTTAAGAAGGCTATATACTTCTTAGTTATTAAGCTATTTTTAATTAAAAATACTTAGTTTATAAGCTTTATTTACTACTTAACTCTTCTTTTTTACTTTATTCTACTACTTATAATATATTTTAGAAGTTTAGAAGTACTTTAAATTATTTAAACTTTATATAAGAAAGGGTTTTTATAAAGCTATTAGTTAGTATCTTATTAGTTAAAAGGTAAATTACTTAAAATAATTACTTAGTATATTCCTAGTAAAGTTATATATTCTAGATATCTATATAGTAAAAATAAGTTAAGATATATTCTTTTTTACTTATTATAAGTTAAATTATTTACTAATTATTATAATAAATCTTCTATATATCTCTTAAGCTAAGTTTAAGATCTCTAAAAAGCTACTTAAAAACTATAATCTCTTTTATAGTATACTTTAAGTTTAAAAGCTTTATTTTTATTATTAATATAATTATTATATTTTAATATATAGCTTTCTATTAGATTAAGTTTCTAAAGAGAGATATTATAAATCTTTAAAATAACCTTTATATCTCTTTATTATTAGTAAAAGATATATTACTTATAATTAGTAATACTTAGACTATTTCACCCCCTAAGGTACTAAAGTGAATTATAAAGTATTAAGTATAATATAAATATTAAATTACTTAGTTTATAACTTAATAGTGTTTTAGAGATAGGTTTATTAGGAATTATAATAGTAAAGTATAAGTAAATATAATATCTAACTATATTATAATTATAATATAAAGGATTAATCTAATCTTTTCTTAATATAATAAGACTTACTATAGGTTTATTTCTCTATTAAACTTCTTAAGTAAAGTAAGGAGAAGAGGTATTATTAGTACTCTAAAGTTAATAAGATTAAATTTCTTTATAATTTACTTAATATACTAATTATATAAAATATAGATTTTTTATATTATTTAATTATAAGTAATCCTAATTCTTAAGTACTATTTAGCTAGTTTTTAGTCTTTTAGTTTATATTTCTTTTTAATCCCCTTTATAACCTTCTCTACTTCTTTTATATAGTTCTTATAATATAAAATAAAGATATTATTAATATAGAAGAGTATAAGAACTTTTTTATTATAAAACTAAAAGAGATATAGGTTTTTATTTATTAGATATAATCTAAAGTAAAGAAAAGTATTTAAGAACTCTTTATACTAAAGTAAAAAAGTATTATAAAGGTTATATAAAGTATATTAAAGTTTAATAACCTTTTTATCTTTCTTAAAGCTATCTAATAAGTAATAAGTAATAAGGGGGTTATTTAGTCTATATATAGTATTTAAAAATATATTAATAATATTAAATTAGTAAATTTTAAAGTTAAATTATACTATAAAAGCTATTATAACCCTAAATATTTTTATAGTAAAAGTTATAATATAAGTCTATTCTAAAAGGTACTTTTCTTAGAAGTTACTTTAGATATAAATTTTAGCCTTATAGTAGTTAAGATATCTATATTAATCTAGTTTATATATAAATACCTACTTAAGAAGTATTAGTTTATTTTTTACTTTTAACTTATTTATAACGTTTTAAATACTTATTTCCTTAAATTTATTAATCTTAATATTATATACTTTAATAAAGTAAGAGTAAAATAGTTTTAATATATATTAGATATCTTTTTAGGTCTTAAGTAGTTTTATAAACTAATTAATATAGATTTTTCTATTTAGTATTATAAATATCTACTTTAGCTTTATTTAGTGAACTAAAATAAAGATAAAATAGTAAAATAAGTAATATCTTTAGTCTACTTCTTTAAGTACTTTTTATTACTTTAGTATATATATTTTAAAGAAGGTATTTTAGTTTTATTCTATTTAGAGAAATATAAAGTATATTCTAAAGTATAAAGATTACTTTAGTTTTATAGTTTTAAGTTAATCTAAGTTAGTATAGTTATATATTTATTTTAGCTCCTCTTTAGTAGTACTCTCTTCTTTAGTTCTTAGGTATAGCTATATTAACTAAATGGAGAGTTACTTTATAAAAGTAGTTATATATTAATATCCTCTATATTTAGATTTTATAGAAGAGGGGTATCTATCTAAATATATATTTTATTTAGGATTATATTTTTAGTAGAGGTTATATCTTTATTAGTATCTTAAGTCTTTTCTACTATATTATTATCTTAAATAAGGTTTAATAGTAATATTAGATTTAGTATTTTATATATCTTAGTAAGGTTTAAATTTAATTTAAAGGTTAATATCTATCTCTTTCTCTTATTATTAATTATTTAAAGTTCTCTTAGTAAAAAAAGGTATAATAATAATATTTTATTATTTATTATTAATATAAAATTAATTTTATTTTATATTCTTAAAATCTAAAGTTCTAAAAGTATAAAGGATATTAGTTTTTATATCTTATTAGTAACTAAATAAGCTTTTTTACTTTAGATTACTATTTTTATATTATCCTTTAAGTAGAATATCTTCTTATTAAAAGTTATATTTTATATAATAATAACTTCTTAAAGTGAGGGTATTTAAACCTTATAGAAGTTATATAAGTTTATTATATACCTTACTAAGTATTTAATATACTTTTATATTATAACTTTAAAGTTATATCTATTTTTATTTATTTTATATTCTTTCTTAAGGAGGTATATTTTATAGCTATATATATAAACCTCTCTCTATTAAGGGTGAGAATTAACTAAGAGGTTTACTTTATAAGTAAATTTA